ATGTAAATATAGTTTAGAACACATGTTAGTTCATTAACAAAATTTGTGGATAATGAAGGCTACCTTCATAATCCGTGTCATCACAATTTGTGGATAATGTGGATAGCTTCATAATCCGTATAATTCAATCGCCAAAAAATGAAAAACAAACCCTCTACACAACAATCTAACGAACTTTGACAGTTTGATTGGATAAAGCTAGGGGTTATTTTTTAAGAAACCTTGTAAATTTACATCTATATCTATGTATTTTCTAAGAAAAGAGTATATTTATCAACTGAATTATTAATCATGTACATTTTATATACTTATTTATTTTATTTTATAATTGCCAATGATTAAACATTAAGTCTATATTATTACTATCATTATTATTAATGGGTACTTGGCAGCAATATTTCAAAAATTTAGGGGAAGATCTCATAATTTCACACAACTTAGTTCTGAACTCAAAAGCTTTCCAGCCCCTCCAGACTACTCTTTCAACATAGTTCTGAACTCAACATAACTAGTTCTTCTGCTGTATATTAGTCTATCCAGAACTGATAATCATAAATGAACCGGTGTTTATCAGACAAATTCACAATTCTCCAGCCAAAATGATTATAATTTATCTCACCGACACAAGAATAGCAGCATATTTGAGATGAAATTTGTTTGGACAAAGTCCACAATCAAGAATTTCCAATCACAACAATTGGCAAAGCTTTGAGAAGGTTTCACAAATACCAAAAAGAAAAAAAACAATCAACTTGGGCCACAAACTCTCAAGAATATCCACAAACCCATTAGTTGTTCTTGTTTTGCTCATTAGTTGGAGTAACAAAGTGTCTGGCTATGGGGAAAAGGAGCTTCTTTCTTCAAGAAATCTCAGCACACAGTTGCAAACTACAGAGACGGCCGAAGTTATCGAAATTAGAGTTAAGTACAAGGAAAGTTTACGAGCTCTTGCAAAAATAAACAGCAAACCTTTTTAGTATCTGAAATCTTACATGTAGTTTTCATGATTGTGTCTAAGACTCTAATTTTGTATGATGCATTCAATATTGATTAGATTTTATATGTAAAATAAAATAAAAAATAACTGGAATAGTTTTACGTGTTGCAATATTTTTTATTTAAAAAATTAAAAATCTTCTTTTACATATTGCATACTAACATTTTAGAAACTACATTGATATTTCTAAATTAATATTGCATACCCAATATTTTAGGAACTAATTAAATGTTAATTTGATTTGCATACAAAAAATATTAGTTGCATTAATTAAATGCTTGATAAAAATAGCAAATCATTAATTAAAGTTGACTATTCTACATACTACATTTAGTAAATAATATAGCCAATTGATGATACAAGATTTACCTGACGTTAGTCAGAGGACACGTGGCGACGGTTGATGCTCCGACGTCTCCCTGGACTCGTCTCCTTTGCTCCAACGCCTGCAAAACAGAACCCCGGGGTCGTCCCCAGGGGTAGATCCTCCGATGCCTAAGTTAGAATCGGTTTTAGGTTTTCTGGGATGGTGGCTGCGGAATGAGTAGAAGAGAGAGTTTGGAGAGTTCAGAATGTCCCTTACCTTGACCTAGGTCGTCCTTTTATAGGACTCTGATGACCTAGGTCTCCCTTCTGCAACAGAGGACTTCCCAGCCCATTAGCTTCGTGGGCTGACCTCTGACCTTGGGCACATGGTAACACTCCTCTGGACCTTGGGCCTACAACAATTCTCTTCAGCACCTTGGGCCCAGAGTAAGGCTCCTCGGGACCTTGGGCCTAAATAGAGGTTGGGCTTCAGCCTCGACCTTGGGCACTGATGGTCCTTGGAGTACACGTGTCTTTATTCTCCCGAGCCACGTGTCTCCTAATAAATGTATATTTTACCCTTATCACTTGCCCCCCATTTTATGTGCGCATTAACTTTTATGCGTACAAAAAATAAGCGATGAGACATTTACAGATGAATATCCGCGGCGGGCGACTTTTCAGTACAGTTGGACAGACAGGCAGTCCAGCTGCTTGTTATAAGACTTCTCACTCTCATTTCTTTCTCACTTTTTACATTGTTACTTTCTAGAGAGAGAGAGATAGAGAGAGAGCGAGAGAATCAAGCTCTTGGGATTGCATCGATTTTTCAAGCTCGACGTCAGCATTCGAAAGTCCTCAGACCCTGGTAATTTTTTCTTACCATGTCCTTTTTTCTTCAAGCCTTCAGCGGCTAGTTATTATTTACCGACGTCAGTAGCATTGGTATTTACCTTAAGCATCGATAGCGATAGTATGGACATATATTAGACACTTCGATAGGCCGAAGGGCTTCTTCGGAGTCCTTGGTAGTTCGAGAACTAATATTTTGGACCTCGGTAGGCCGAGGAGCTTCGTCGTAGACCTCGGTGATTCGAGGTTCTTCTTTGTAGTCCTCGGTAGTCCGAGGACTAATTTTTTAAACACCTCGGTAGGCCGAGGGTCTTCGTTGTAGTCCTCGGTAGTCCGAGGACTAATTTCTTAAACACCTCGGTAGGCCGAGGGTCTTCGTTGTAGTCCTCGGTAGTCCGAGGACTAATTTTTTAAACACCACGGTAGGCCGAGGGTCTTCGTTGTAGTCCTCGGTAGTCCGATGACTAATTTTTTAAACACCTCGGTAGGCCGAGGGTCTTCGTTGTAGTCCTCGGTAGTCCGAGGACTAATTTTTTAAACACCTCGGTAGGCCGAGGGTCTTCGTTGTAGTCCTCGGTAGTCCGAGGACAAATTTTTTAAACACCTCGGTAGGCCGAGGGTCTTCTTTGTAGTCCTCGGTAGTCCGATGACTAATTTTTTAAACACCTCGGTAGGCCGGGGGTCTTCGTTGTAGTCCTCGGTAGTCCGAGGGCTAATTTTTTAACCACCTCGGTAGGCCGAGGTCTTCTTTGTAGTCCTCGGTAGTCCGAGGACTAATTTTTTCTAACACCTCATGATATCTTAGGACACTTTAGAGACCTTGGGAGCTTCGGCACTTAGACTTTGGAAGCTTTGGAAAATATGCCTAAGTCTTTAGGCCTTGGATAGTTGGAGGAGGAGTCCTTAGAATCTTAGGTTGTCAAGTCCTAAAGCAATCGCTTCACTTTATTTGCTCAGTTTTGGCAGCTTGACCCCTGCGTTTAATTTACCACTTGTTCCCACAGTGTCTTTTCATCTTGACCGAGAATAATTATCAATATAGGCCTCTCCATTTTCCTCTTACTTGCCCAAGGACTTTAGAGGCTACAAAAGGCAATTCAAGAGCTGCTAAGGATTTCTTCAAAAAGCCTTCTTCTCAGGTAACTATCAACCTTTGGTACTTTCAGCTTTATTAGAAATAACAGTCAATAATCCTAAGGAGAAGTGCTAAGTGAATTGACACTTGAAATGTACTTCGATGACTTCTTTGCTCTTGTAGTCGGAGGACTTCTACCTTCTCCTCCGCTCTTAACATGAAAAAATTAACATACCTCTTTATTTCGATTTTAGTTTACCGTCAAGTCTCAAACAATATCCCGAGGACTCCTTTGCCACCTCGTCTTATTTTTCTTGTGAGCTTCACGCGTTCGTTTGTCCTTGGTTGCATTTAGGTTTGAGAATGTCCATGGACTTCAACGAGTCTAGTGATGTCGAAATCCTAGCCCGACACGGACGTAGGCACAAAGCTAATGCGTATACTGATGGGTCGGTGTCCACACTCGCAGAGGATGACGTCCGTAGGTTTTATGTCAAATATTATGTTCCTGACGCTTGGAATTTTTATATTCCGGAGCCCGGAGAGGGTAGTTTTGGCGAAACTCCTCCGGGATGGCTGTCTTTACGAAGACATGTTCAAAAATGGTCTACGGTTCCCTCTACATCCGACCATCGTTGAGATCTTGAATTTTTACAACATTTCTCCCGCTCAGCTAACTCCTAACGCTTGGATGATTATCGTGGGGTTTGTCCTCCTTGGGGCTTCAGTACCCATACCCACAAGCGCTAGAGTCTTCAGCTCCATTTACCGCCTCCAGAACCACCCTAGTTGCGAAGGTCTCTTCTATGTTGTGTCGAGGTCATGTTCTAATTCCTTGGTAGATTCTTCCAAAGACACAAAATATTGGAGGTCGAAATTCTTCTATGTTTATTCGGGTGATCCTTGGAACTTTCCTTCTGAATGGAGCGACGAGGTCCGCCGGCCCATCGAGTTTGAGCTCTCTCATGACGAGGAAAAGGCTAACTTGGCTCTTTTACTCAAAGGTCCCGCGAGTTTAACAGTTTTACTAAAGGAGAAGAACTTGATTGCGGCTCGCTTGAGCCATGCTCCACTGACTATGAATGTCGACCTTAGTACGAACAAACCGCAGATTTTAATAAGTATTGCATGTACTCATTATTTATATCTTGGTACTTACCTGTCTCTTTCGTGCTTTGTTCAGGTATGGAGGTGCACAAAGCTAAGAGGATCAAGCTTAAGGTGAACAGGAGCAAGGTCGTGGCCGACGCCGCCCAGAGGCAGGAGTCCGGGGTTCCCCCGAGGAAGGTGACACGACCTCTTATCTTGGGGCCTACTCCTCCTCCGGTGACTCCAGCTCCCGAGGTCGACATTGCCATTGAAGAGGGTAGCGGGACCGGAGGTCCCCAGATGTTCACCGACGGAGGCTTCGACCATGTCTCTGGTCCGTCGGATAAGTTCATTCCAGAGTGGGATGTTAACGTCAGTGACCGTCTGTTGGACCGCAGTACCGCTGTAGAGATGATGAGCCACCTCTTACCCCGAGGAGATAGGGAGAGCCTCCGGGCTGCGACGTCCGAGGAGTTATCTTACGATGGCTACGCGTACTTGGCCAAGGTAACAAGAATTCTCGTTATTCTTTCCATGTTGCCTCCAAAATTTTTCTAACCTTTTTCTGTCTTTCAGCTCCTTCGCACTCACCAGGGCATGATTGACAAGATTGCCTATGGTAGCCGGAGGATCCTTGAGTTGAGGGACTTGCTAGAGAGTAGCGAGGCCTCTCAGGCGAAGGCTGAAGAGGAGAGCGAACGCCATCATACTGAGGTGACGCGTCTAAGAGCTCTCGTTGAGAAGCTCGATCTGAGGATCAAAGGGATGGACTCGAGCCTTGAAGAGGCTAACAAGAAGGTGGAGGACGCCAACAAGAAGGCGAAAGAAGCTGCTGAGGAGAACTCGGATTATTGGCTCGACGGGTTCGATGCATGCAGGCAGCTCGTTGGCACCCTTGACCCTTCCTTTGACCTCAGTCGTCTCGTTCCCGAGTCTGTTGATCCCATGACAGGCGAGGAGGATGCCGGCCCCTCAGACTTTAGAGATGTTTGATTGTTGATGATTTCAGGACTTTGTTTGTTTTGTTGTCACTTCTGGACTTGTACCCCTTTTTTTTTTTTATGATGTAGACCTTGGTCTTTTGAACTCCCAGCATATGTAACGCTGTTTGATTTACTCCTTTGTCTTTTAAGAAATGGGTAGTCCCAATTCTAACCTTAGGTGCTTTTTCACTAGCCTTACAGTAGATCATTCTACCGAGTGACTAGTGTTTTGCAGCTGCGACCGAGGACTAGTAGCAGGGGCAATAGTTCTCTACTGCAATCCTTTTTAACTTTGATAGCGGCAATGGTTGTCCACTGCAATTCTATCATTGTAGGTAGTGGCAATGGTCGTCCATTGCAATTCTACCATTTTTTCTAACAATGTCGGAAATCAAAACAAAATGCAACTTTTATTGAAATAGTCTGAGTACGAAGTCTCAACTTTCAAGTCCTACGCTAGAAATAGGAGAAATAACTTAACATAAAAACGACTACTGATAGTACTTGCGCAAATGTTCTGCATTCCAGGACCTTGGTATAGGCTTTCCGCCTAAGTCCTCTAACTTATAAGTGCCTTCTTTCACCGCTGCTCGGACACGGTAAGGGCCATCCCAGTTTGGAGATAACTTGTTATGCCTTTCTTGGTAGTTGAATTGAGCTTTCCTGAGGACAAGCTCTCCTGGTCGATAGTAGCGTGATCGAACGCGACTGTTGTAATACTTGGCCACCCTCTGCTGATATGCAGCCATCCTGATCCTTGCCCGATCTCTGTGCTCCTCGATCAGATCAAGGTTACACCTCAGACCTTCTGCATTTTTCTCCACTTCAAAGGTTTCAACCCTGGGACTTGGGATTCCAATCTCTACGGGTATGACCGCCTCAGATCCGAACGTCATGCTAAATGGGCTTTCTCCTGTGGCCGTCCGAGGAGTCGTACGATAAGCCCAAAGCACTTCTGGAAGAATATCAACCCATAAACCCTTAGGCTCATCAAGTCTTGTTTTTAAGGCTTGCAAGATAGTCCTGTTTGTGACCTCTGCCTGGTCGTTGGACTGAGGGTATGTTACCGAGGTTGTCCTGAGGTCTATAGACAAACCTTTGCAAAACTCTCGGAAACGTTGGTTATCAAACTGCTTTCCATTGTCAGTGATGAGTGCTTTTGGGACTCCAAAACGACACACAATGGACTTCCACGTGAAACCTTGGATCTGCTTCTCGGTGATATGAGCCAAAGGTTCTGCTTCGACCCATTTTGTAAAATAGTCAATGCCCACGATCAGGAACTTCCTTTGCCCAGTGGCCTGTGGAAAAGGTCCCAAAATGTCCATGCCCCATATTGCAAATGGCCAAGGGGTGAAAACCGAAGACAAGGGAACAGCTGGAGAATGGAGGATATTCGCGTGCCTTTGACATTTTTCGCATCTCTTGACGAAGTTCATTGCGTCTTCTCTCAGGGTAGGCCAATAATACCCTTGTCTGATGATGACTTGGGCTAAAGACCTGCCCCCCAAGTGATTTCTGCAGACTCCTTCGTGCACCTCTCTTAATGCATAATTAGCCTCATCTGGCCTAAGGCATCTAAGGTGTGGCATGCTGTACGACCTCTTGTACAAATGGTTGCCTATGATCGAATACCGGGCTGAGCGTTGAATGATTTTCTTTGCCTCTCGCTGGTCATCAGACAACTTTTTATCTTTGATGTAGTCAACAATAGGATCAACCCAACTGAGTCCTTGGTCAAGACTCATCACTTGCTCTTCCTCTATACTGCGGTGAGGAAGGACTTCCACAGGTACGGTTTTGATGAGCTCGTGATAAGGCGATGTTGCGAGCTTAGAAAGTGCGTCTGCCTTGGTGTTTTTTGTCCTTGCGACTTGCTGAACCCCACAATACTCAAATAAAAAGACCAAGTCTCTCACCTTAGTTTGGTACTTGACAATCATGGGATCCTTTGCCTCATAGTCTTCACGGCTTTGACATACGAGCAACTGTGAGTCACTATGGCATCGCACACATCGGGCGCCCAGCTCCAACGCCATCTTTAGTCCGGTTATGAGAGCCTCATATTCAGCCTCATTGTTTGAGGCCTTGAACTCGAACCTTAGAGCGTAATAAAAAACATCACCTTCTGGGCTGGTTAAGGTCAACCCAGCCCCACTCCCATTTTGATTTGATGATCCGTCCACATACAAGGTCCAACAGCCTTCCACGGGATCTCCGATGTTTGGCACCGCCTCTGTTACCAGAGGAGTATGCTCTTCTCCCGCAGTACACTCTACTACAAAATCCGCCAAGGTCTGGGCCTTAATAGCCGTCCTCGGTTGAAACTGGACATCAAATTCGCTAAGCTCAACGCACCACTTCACCAGCCTCCCAGATGCTTCTGGCCTTTGTAGAATTTGTCTCAACGGTTGGTCTGTGAGTACAACCACCACATGTTCTTGGAAATACGGTCTCAACTTACAAGCTGAGATAACCAAGGCCAATGCCAACTTTTCTATCTTAGGATAGCGAAGCTCTGCGCCTCCTAGGACTCGACTCACATAATAAATTGGCATTTGGACTCCATCTTCTTTTCGAATTAACACCGAGCTCACAGCCGCATCCGACACTCCCAGGTATAAGTATAAAACCTCTCCTTGCTGTGGCTTTGTCAAAAGTGGTGGAGAACCCAAGTAAGATTTTAGATCCTCGAACGCTCTCTGACAGTCTTCTGTCCAAGCGAACATATTTGCCTTCCTTAGCACTTTAAAAAATGGTAGGCTCTTTTTTGCAGACTTTGAGAAGAAACGACTAAGTGCTGCTAGTCTCCCGGTGAGCCCTTGAACTTCTTTCACTGACGTAGGAGGATTCATGTCCAACAATGCTTTGATTTTCTCGGGGTTCGCCGCGATTCCTCGTTGTGTAACCATGTATCCAAGAAACTTTCCCGAGGTCACCCCAAAAGCGCACTTGTTGGGGTTGAGCTTCATCTTGTAATGCTTCAACACTGCGAAGGTCTCCTCTAAGTCATCTATGTGGTCCTCCGCACGTCGACTCTTTGCTAGCATGTCGTCAACGTACACTTCAATGTTTCTACCAATCTGGTTTTTAAAGATCTTATTCACTAGCCTCTGGTATGTAGCCCCCGCGTTCTTCAGACCGAAAGGCATGACCTTGTAGCAATATAGGCCACGGTCGGTGACGAAAGAAGTTTTGGCTTCATCCTCTGGGTGCATCCTTATCTGATGGTACCCTTGAAATGCATCCATGAAGCTGAGGACTTCACATCCGGCGGTGGCGTCTACCAGTTGGTCTATCCTCGGTAAGGGAAAGCTGTCCTTGGGACACGCCTTGTTTAGACTTGTAAAGTCTATGCACATCCTCCAATTGCCACTTGCTTTAGAACCAAGACAACGTTGGACAACCACTCGGGATAATCTACCTCCTTTATGTAGTCAGCATCTAAGAGCTTATCCACCTCTCCGTTGATAGCTTGGATCCTATCCGGGGCAAAACTCCTTTTCTTCTGTTGAACTGGCTTAAATCTAGGGTCCACATTTAGTCGGTGGACTATGACCTCAGGGTCAATTCCCGGCATGTCAGATGGACTCCAAGCAAAGACTTCGGCATTTTCTCTCAAGAATTGGACAAGCTTTGTCTTAAGGTCCTCGGACAATGATGACCCAATTCGCACAACCTTATCATTGTCCCCTTCATAAAGCTCAATTGAGACTAAGGTCTGGCTCTCCTGCCTTCTTCAGCTCGTCCTCCGGATCCAAACTCTCTATGGTCAGAGCCTCCGAGTTCTTTCTTTTACCTTTGAGTGAGGCCACATAACTTTGTCTGGCTACCTCTTGGTCTCCACGAACTTTCCCGATGCCATTCTCGGTCGGGAACTTCATAAGCATGTGATATGTAGAGACTATGGCCTTCATCTTGTTCAACCCTGGTCGTCCAAGGATGACATTGTAACTGGAGGGGACCTTCACAACTAAGAAACCCATCATTACCGTGGTCTGCTGGGGTGAGTCCCCTGCAGTTAACGGGAGAGTTATAATTCCTTCCGGCTCCACGGTTTCACCTGTGAACCCCATGAGTGGAGTTTTGACTGGCCTTAGTCGTTCGCGACCAATTTTCATCTTCTCGAATGCATCATAAAATATGATATCAGCCGAGCTGCCACTATCCACCAACACTCTTTTGACCCCGTAATTCCCAATCGTAAGCGTAACGACCATGGGATCATCATGAGGAGTTAGAATGTTACCCGTGTCTTCCTCGGTAAAGGTTATTTGCGTTTCCCTACGAGCCTTTTTCTCTCGCGGCTCGCTTGTTCTAGGTTGCCTTGCATATGCTTTGCGAGTAGACTTGCTTTCTCCACCGGATGGTCCTCCAGCGATGACGGCTATGACCCCAGCAACTTGAGTGTTGTCCCTCCTCGGACTTCGGGCCCTAGGATTACCCCTCCTAGGACTGCGACTTCGATCTTTTGAGCGGCTTCGCCGGGGTTGAGGGCTGCTTCTGTCTTTTCCCACAAATTTCTTAAGGTATCCTCTGCGTATCAAGTCCTCAATATCGTTTTTCAGGGTCTCACAGTCCTCGGTATCGTTATCGTGGTCTCTGTGAAAACGACAATACTTATCCCGACTTCTTTTGTTTGCAGGTGTTCTCATCTTGGTTGGCCACCTGACATAGTCCTTATCTCGAATATACATCAAGATTTCATTCTTTGTAGCACGCAAAGGAGTATACCTTTCAAATCTCGGGAGATTGGATCGATCCTTCGACGAGTTGGTCGTGACAGACAACCTATCCTATACCTTTTTCCTCTTTCCGCCATTGTTATCATCAGGGTCCCTTGTCCTCTTTCTGTCAGAGGTCTCACGCTCATCCTCCTCTCTTGACATCTCCTCAGCGTTGATGTACTTTTCAGCCCTACTGAAGAGTTCAGGGAGAGAGAGCGGTGGTTTTTTCGCCAAAGAGAAAGCAAACCTCGAAGACCTTCGAACCCCATTCATGAGT